GAAGTAAGACGAAGTAAGATTTTAATTGGATGTTTGTGTTTTTTAACGGAGTTTTTTACCTCTGGAGGCATGAAAAGAAGGCCTGTCCCCATGAACGTGTATACAGGTATACCTCGCCTTACGTCGGTAATTGGTTCCAGGAGAACGACTTAAGTCGAAAAACGACGTAAGTCGAATTTACTTGTCTCCAAATCTACTTGTCACTAAGCTAAACCATAAATTGCCAATTCTGGTTCTGTATTTTATTTATTAATGCATTCTTAATAGTGTATGGTTAATAAGGATCTATTTTAAGCTTACAAACAAATAAATTTTAGTTTTTAATTATTTAATATAGTACAGAAAAAAGTAATCTAAATTTACGAATGCAGGTACTGTAAATACAGTACATACTTGTAAATGTATATATTTTATTAATAATATGATTTTATGTGCTTTAAACATTTTTCTAGTGATATTACGACTTCAATATTTGTGGCGGACAGACGTAAAGTCGAATAAAATGACTTAAACTTGATTTTTATTTTTCCATATACTTTTTTGACAAACGACGTATAATCGGGAACGACGTAACTCGAAACGACGTAAGTCCAGGTATACCTGTATTTTGGAATGCAAAATAAATATACGTATAGGATCCGTTTTTTGCAAAATTTCATTGGTTGGCAGATTACCATTTCATATTCGGCTGAGAATGGTACAAGTTCTTATAGTTAACAGTAGAAAAAATACGATGTCTTTAAGTTTTTAAGATGTATTTTCAATTGATGTGTACTTGACTAATGAGACTGTGCTATTTCGTACCGTCCGAGTATGGCGATAAACGTAACAATGGTTGGCTAAACTAACTAAACTCATATGATTTTCGTTTTAATGTTTGTTATATTATGATGTTTGATTTATATAAATACAAAAATTACCTTGTGTAAAGGTTCTTTATTCGTTTAATGTACACAATGAAAAAATTTTTTAAATATGTTAGATTGGTCACTCGGTGAGACGAACCTTTGTAAATATAAATGAAATACCATAATATAATATAATAGAAATATTAGAAGTACAAAATAATGTAATAATCTTAACCTTTGTTAATATATTTTGCTGGGAAACGCCGGATTCATGTTCTAGTATCTGTTATTTTAGATTGAAAATAAGTTATATTTTTTAATTACTGTATTTATAAATGAATGTTATTTTTTCATACGCAACGTCCTCCTCTTTGCCTGATTCGAAAAATAAAATAGCACATTTATCATTTGTTTATCGTACTGTGAACGTTGTTCAACACAATTATATGTTAAATGAAATGGAATGCAGCGAGTGTGGTATAAAATATTGCCATAGACAAAGTTTAAATAGTACGACGTGTGATATACAGAATAATACTTGTGTTTTCTGTTTATAATTATAAATATTCTGTTTGAAATTATTAGTTAAAGTGAAAATAAATTAAATTTATGGGTAGGAATCTTGCCTATAAATAAATTTTTTAAAATAAAATATTAATACTGTAACATAATCAGATAGAATTATGAATAAAGTAAAACATACGAAGTCTAAAAATTTGAGAGAAGAGCTATTATTATTAGTAGGCCTAATTGAACGTTATGTAATATGTCCAAGTATACACTTAAAAAAAAGCATTATTGTTTTAAAAAATTAATTATAAAGTTATTACTTACACGACTAAGGAAGTCAACCATAATATTGTCTGCATAACATTATTTTGGAAAGGAGACTTAGAATAGTTATAGAGAAAAAACAGGGTTCAAAACTCTAACCTCCTTTCACTCATAGCCAATTATTGTCGAAGGAAATGTAATGTTTGCTAAGGGAAATACTCGTATTTTTTCTTAATTAAATAAGCACAACTTCAAAATTTAGTACATATGTGAAATTCGAATTTAATCGTTAGTCAGGATGTCTGATCACTTTAACTATTTTAAAAGTACTTTAAGGGTTGAAGAAAGCCTAACATAAAACCTAAAAACTTATATGAATAAGTTTAAATAAATAAATTTTAGACGTGTTAGTTTCTAAAGAAAACACAACATACTACATAATTGCAATTTAATTTTTTATACGCGTCTAGTTCAATCATGATGTCGCAAAAACTACACTGATCAGAGGTTGACCGGCTATATATTATTTTCCCGTGATCGACTCCAACCAATAGGTTGCTTTACCAACGTTTCTCATTTTTTTGTCAATATTTTGCTAATTACAATTTAATATTAGATTAAATTGTAACAGAACATTATACTGCATAACATTATTCTACAATGATAATCGCTTGACCAGCAGCTGCTGATTCATATATAGAACAGAAAGACAAAAAGACAAACAGAAATCCTTTACAATTTAATTTATATATTGTTGTTTATGACGTATTTTAATCCTTCTCCTGAATTGTTTCCAGTTTTATTGGAATACGGCATCGCGACTGGGCGATCTGCCGAACGGGAGATGAGTTTTAGGGGTTTGCCAGGGGGAAACATGTTCAGTATTACTCGTAATCAGGCAACAAGCATCAATACTGACGGTTCTAGGTTAATTTATATAGATTATTTAATGTTATCTTTTTTAAAAGTACTTTATACGTTTTGATCAATATGTTCTGTCAATAAATATCCGATTTGCAAATGGAAATTAAGATACAAAAAATTACGACATTTTTGTTTCTGCAATACCCTGTACGATAAAATTTGTTAAAATAATACAATGTATGACAATTAAAAAAGTTAAATATCTTACTTATTCTACTTTATTCTCTGCAATAAAAACAAAATTATTGACTACTGTAGTATTAATTAATTAAATTTATAATACAGTTCAATATCAAATAATTTATTATGGTCAAATACAAATGTAAACAGATGTTTGGATCAGCATTAGGTTTTACTTACCCGGCTCTGTTATATGTATAACATGAAGAGTATGAATATCGTTCAAGGAACGACTTCCAAAATTTTTATATTTTTGAACTCGGATCATAAAAAGTTTACATATTCAAAAATTTTCGGAGTTTTTTTTCTGTATGTTTGCATATGAATGTGTGTGTTTGTGTGTGTGTGTTGAAACGATTTACTTTACCCTCTTTGAAAATCAATAAATTTTGTGATTTTTGTCGAAAATTCCGAAAATTTAGCTTGGAGGTGTATGTATTCGAAGAGTGATGCTGTTAAAGTTCGGTAGTTAAAGTTCAAAAAGATGGAGAGATGAAGGGAGGTCGTTGTGTTCAAATCTCGATGACGAGAGGACTTAAAAAAATTTTACTCGTTATTAGCTATAATTTTTTTTATAAAATTTACCTCTTTCTTCAAATACAGTCGACCCCCTATAACGCGGTAGATACGTTCCACTTTATAAGAATTTCACGTTGTAGGAATCTTTAAATACATGAGCCAATCACAGCCCGGCACGTATACAGATTAATAGAAATAATTTTATGGCCGTTAAATAAGAATTTTTTCTTCACAAGAAATGTATAAAATTACAGTACTGTATTAGACATACAGTACGTAATTTATATACTTTACAGACGATAGTTAACTCAACTTACCTGTTTAAACTCTCTCTAGCTTGTAGGTAGTTCGGCTGCTCTTCCACTATTGGTCCAGATTCGACGAATCCTGTCGCGACACGAGTCGGCGATGACGTTTTACCGCATTTTACGAGTCTCTTTTAGCGTGTTTATACGAATACAGTTGCAATATTTTCGCCGCGATATTCGAATCCGCATTATGTGAACCCGCGTTTTAGCGGAGTCAACTGTATAAGCATTTGCCATTTTGCAATAATAAAAAATAAAAAAAGCTTTTTCAAATAAAATGTATTAATTAATAGATAGCGTCATACCCGCGTTTTAAACGATGCCTGGAATCTTAAGCAGCTTATTGTTGGATGTTTTTTTTATTTCTGAAGTTTTCTATTCCAGTAAACATTTCTGTAAAATTGAACCAAGACAGGTGATATTTCTCCTCTAATTCAATTTCTATTCTGATTATTAGCCTTGTTTTTGTTAGAAATTGCGTGACACGAATGAAACACGAGAAAAAAATGATTAAGACTTATTCACTTAAAAACTAATTTATTCATTTCTATTAATCACTATACACAATGACAAAAGAATTATTATGAAACTTTGGCATCAGTAATTATCGAATCAAAATAAGTTCATAATATGTGAACAAAATGATTAAATTAAACAAGATGTATAGTGTATAAGCAGGGCCGGTTCTTATAGGTGTGCAGTGCATGAACACAGGTGGACAAATTCTTAGAGCGTCCAACACTGCATGTTACAAAATAAAATGCTAATATAATTTATTTTATTATATAGTGATAGGCTTTGAAATATATTGATATTTGTATGACGAATGATAACATAGCTATGCAGATTATGCTTATAAATAACGCCCAGGCATACATGTTAGATGTTTTGCATCAGACAACTTAAAAGTACATTCAACGGGTGATAAGGGATTAATCCGTTAAACCAGAGAAACATTCATCAGTGGTAATTTCAATATTTGTACTGTTGTTTCTTGTTTTATATCATAAAAATGCATAAAAGCTTGGATAGCCGTAGCCAAATACTTGTAACATGCAAGTGACTAATAGATCCAAAACTAGATCTATGTATGATAGAGTTGAATTTGAAAGTGCTTATGTTTATATACGTTTAATGATTAGTGTAAATCAATAAGACGAATAAATATAAATACGGGTTTTCGCACCAGTAAATGAGATTATTTAACAAACTATTTAATGATAATTATTATCTTAAATATGAAAATTTGCAATAAACTATACTCTAACATATACATAATTTAGTAGGTATATGTTCATTAAGGTATTAAGGGTTAAAAGCGAGATATTGTTGCATTAAATATGAATATTTTAGAATTAAAATTTATAAAAGAAATATATCAATTTTTCGGTCTTGATGCTGTCCTGAGGTTGAGAAGACCAGAAAATACAGAATGAAGAGAACTTGCCATCTGAAAAAATTTCAAAATTTAAATATATCAATACAACATTTTTGTGATTAATATTATAAAATATAGTTAAATATACTTTAATCGGAAATTTCTTGGTAACGTTGAAGTAATCATTGATGGATAAGCATAGAGATGCTTTACCAAATCTCTTCATAAAATTCAACATCTGTACAATAATTGAATGTCATCAGTTTATTTAAATTTTACAAAAAAATTAACAATTATTTGTTTAAAAAAACAAATTTAAAATACTTTACCTTTAATTTCTGTTCTAAACTCAGATCGCAATCAGCAAATCTTCTTATATCTTGAAAGGATGTTTGCATCTGAAAAACAAAAACAAAGCAAAACGTCTGATCAAATTTATAAATGAAATTATTTTCATTTTAATAAAATTTCTTACGTTTGACGTTAAAACAGACATGAAGAATCCAACTAAAATGCAGCCAAAAGTTATTAAAGCACAAATCGCAAAAATAAAGACTTTCAATACAAATTCCACTTTCGAGAAGATAGCAATAAAATAAAGTAGACACGTTTCTGATAATAAAGTAGCATACAAAGTCGTGACTACATAATTGAATGGGTCGTTGAATTGGTTTGTATAAGTCCAAATTTCATGGTGTTGTGCCATTATGTCTTCTAATTCAAATTCTAAGTTTGGATTATCTTTTCTCAATAGGTATAAATCTTTTGATACTTTCTGGAATGCATTCATTAAAATAACACCAATAGAGAAAAGGAAGAAAGCAACGTGTACCAAACCTCCAATCATCACAATCATCCACATTCCATTTTCAATGGTACAAACAAATGCTTCCAGCTTGAATAATTCTTTCTTTTTTATATCGTGATGAAAGAAAAATACATTCAAACACTGAAGCCATAATGTAATAAATATTGTCAAAGTCACAGTGGTAATTCGAATGTAATTTATGATAGAGAATAACTGATTTTGGAAAAAGTAACTCGAATTCCTTACTTTAATTTTTGTATTTAATTTCACTCTTTTAAGGATGCTGAATATTACCGCAAACACTAAGGCAAGAAGAGAGATGGTTACTTTGACAAAGATGTCGTTGTCCACAATCGAATACCAGGATATACAGGGTGTTTTATTTGACAGAAAAGGAATTATCATACAAAAAGTGAGAAAGAAATGCATCCAGTAGATACATTCGATAAAAGCTAAATAAAATCTGTATAGAAGTTTGTGCAAATAACTGTTTTTTCGTATGATACATGAACAGGGATTGAAGAAATTCAATCCATATATCATTGACGTTGACGTAAATGATGACAGAATACATTTTAGACATATTTCATGTTTAAAACTTACAATATTAGAGCTAATGCTCGAAGAAGTTTGTACCATGTCTTCTTGGATAATTGTAATTATCTTTGATGTAAGAACAGTCTGCATTGTATTTAAAACGGAGAATTACGGCAGAGAATAATTGTCTGCAGTGTACAGTCAGTTGAAGTTGCTATGCAGCTTCAAGGATAAAGTATAGCTGTTTCTCTTTTATATAAGCATAATTATGAAAATTAACAATACCTTTAATGGAAATCGGAAATTTTATAAATTATTATACCATTAAAAGTTAAATACCGTAATCGATAAAGACGATAAATACAATGGCGTGTAATTTTAATAGGTTCATAAAATTCAATCGATTTGTTTGCTTTCTAAATTGATGCAATTAGTTATATTAAAGACTTAAGGATTTTTAATAACATACATGCTTTATTAGTGATATATTAACTTATGTCCGTATAATTATTTTATTCTCAAACACTTTCCAGTGCTGTCACAAGGAAATGGTTAATTTTTCAGGTTCAACTTCTCCCTATAATTTCATTGTCTAATTTTTTAAAAATCTTGTAATTTTTGTCCAATTCAGATGAAATTATAGTTATATTAGTTTTTTTTTTTAATCAAGGAAAGTAGAAGCTACTGATTTTGCGGAAATATTAGGTATAGCATAGACGTAGTATCGATTTCGGATAGGTGATCGTTTTTACGTTGAAGTGACGTCATGAACGAGGTGACGTTCGCGAATTTTGCTCAAGTTGTATTTTTAAATATTTTCATTTTTATAGCAAACGTTTTTAGAAAATTCTTTTTATCACGACCACGTTACGTGTTATGATCGAATTGGAAGNTATACTTTTTTGACAAACGACGTATAATCGGGAACGACGTAACTCGAAACGACGTAAGTCCAGGTATACCTGTAGTCTGGAATGCAAAATAAATATACGTATAGGATCCGTTTTTTGCAAAATTTCATTGGTTGGCAGATTACCATTTCATATTCGGCTGAGAATGGTACAAGTTCTTATAGTTAACAGTAGAAAAAATACGATGTCTTTAAGTTTTTAAGATGTATTTTCAATTGATGTGTACTTGACTAATGAGACTGTGCTATTTCGTACCGTCCGAGTATGGCGATAAACGTAACAATGGTTGGCTAAACTAACTAAACTCATATGATTTTCGTTTTAATGTTTGTTATATTATGATGTTTGATTTATATAAATACAAAAATTACCTTGTGTAAAGGTTCTTTATTCGTTTAATGTACACAATGAAAAAATTTTTTAAATATGTTAGATTGGTCACTCGGTGAGACGAACCTTTGTAAATATAAATGAAATACCATAATATAGGGGTGTCCAACCCGCGGCCCGCGGGTCGCATGCGGCCCAAGGCAAGTTCCAATGCGGCCCAATAAACGTGTAAACAAAACCGACAAATGTTTTAATTTTTTATTATTTATTTATTTCAACGGCATAAACTCAAAAAAGAAGTTTATGCCG